CTGGATATGTAACACTTGGTTCTGTAAGAAAGCAGAGTTGAAGGGTACGTGGATGCACCCTAGGAGTCGCCATGTGCACTGCATTGACTACATCATAATTGCTTAGAGGGACCGTCGCCGGTGTACGGATTCACAGATTATCCCATCGGCTGAGTGTGGCAGTGATCACAGTCTACTCGCAATGCGTTTCCGGCTGGGTCGTGGCAAGTGGCGGAAACCGGCCGCACAGTCCAAGAGGGCTCGTTTTGCAACGTGACCCTTACCGGATATTGTATCCACTGATGACAATGGTCAAGTCTGCCAGATTGTTGATGAGTATCAAGACAGTATCGCAGCCAGGCTCAGGGGTGCCGCCGACCCCTGCTCCACTGTTGATGAAAAATGGAACAACATCCGTAGTGCTATGACAGATGCCGCACAGTCTGCCTTGGGCCGCCAGGGTCGCCGACAGCTGGACTGGTTTGCTGATAGCAGGGATACTTTGAAGCCGCTACTGGTGGAACGTAATGCCTGCCATCGGTCTTGGATAACGAATGGCCGTCGGAACGATGACTACCAGAAGCTGCGCACGGCACGACGACAGGCTAGGCAGGCAGTGCGCACGGCTAAGAACCAGTGGTTTGCCACAGTTGCGGGCAGGGTTGAGAGTGGCCGGTTTAATTCCGCACGAGTGTGGGCCGGAATACGGTCCTTAGAAGATGCCCGATCTGGCCTCAAGCCAATCCCAAATATGGCAATCCTAGATGAGAATGGCAACATCTGTACTTCTCCGGCGGAGCAGGGACAGCGATGGTCGCGCCACTTTACCAAGGTCTACAACATCCCCAGCACATTCGACTCCGGTGTTATCGATCAGGTGGAACAGCAGGACATCGTCGAGGAGCTTGGCGAACCACCGAACCTTGCTGAGCTTCAGCGTGCGGTGTCAGCCATGAGCAATGGGAAGGTGGCTGGCGGCTCTGACATCTTACCTGAGATGGTTAAGGCCGGTGGCCCCGCTCTTATGTGTGCCCTCTTGGACCTCGTGTGTACCGTGTGGGAGGCCAAAGCAGTCCCTCAAGAGTGGGTGTGTAGCAATCTGGTCCCCATCCCGAAGAAGGGCAACCTTGCCAAATGCGATAATTGGCGGGGCATTGCTTTGTTGGAGGTGGTTGGCAAGGTCGTTGCTGCCATGATTCAGCGCCGCTTGCAGTCTTTGGCCGAGACCATCCTTCCCGACTACCAATGTGGTTCTAGGAAAGGTTGGTCATGCACGGATATGGTTTTCGCCGTTCGGCAGGTCGCAGAGAAGCTCTACGAACATCGGTGCAAGGGTTTTCTAGTCTTCGTAGACCTCCGTAAGGCGTATGACTCTGTCAGCCGCCAATGCCTATGGATTATCCTCAAGAAGGCAGGTGTCCCTGAGCGCCTCATCAATATCATACGCTCTTTCCGCACCAACATGACAACAACGTTGAAGATCCCGGGAGTTGATGCGCCACCAATTGAGGTGCAGAACGGCCTCCGGCAGGGTTGCTGCATGGCACCGGTACTCTTCAATTTGTTGATGTGGGCCGTTCTCCAGCAGTGGCATCGTGCTGTTGCCGACATTCCTGGCATTGGTATTCCTGTGGCAACAAACCCTGGGGGCAGTCTCCTATTCAGTCGGAAGTCAACAGACAAGAGCAAGGTCCATCGCGAGTGTCGATTTGCAGATGACTCTGCTCTGCTGGCTACCACTCATGACGGTGCACAGCTGGCCCTTGACCAATTCATACATGTAGCGTATTTTTCGGCTTGACAGTCAACCTGGACAAGACAAAGGTGATGGCTGCTGGATATGGACTCGTGGAAGCAGCTGGTCGAGTGTGTAGATAGTTTCCGTTATCTTGGCTCTCTCCTCAACACGAATGGCCGATCCGCCCCAGATATCAGCTCGCGCATTGTCGGTGCATCATGTGCATTTGGAGCCCTGCGCCGGCCGGTTTTCACTGACAGCAACCTCTCACTTGCTACGAAGCGGCTTGTGTACGGGGCATGGGTGTTGTCTCTGCTTCTGTACTGTCCTGAGTGTTGGGTGCCATTGAAGCCCGACCTTGATGCACTGTGCCCTTTCCATCTCCGCTGCATCCGTTCCGTGATGGGTGTCAGCCAGCGGAATGTCTGGGGCGAAGGACTGACCAGGGTTGATGTTCTGGAGCGGTGGAATCCGCGGCAGCCCCGTGACATCCCAGCCTGCTGACATCGCGCCGCATGGAGTGGCTTGGGCATGTTGTGCGAATGCATGAGGAGCGTGCCCCGCGTCAACTACTGTTTGGCACCCTACATCCTGTCCGTCCAATGTGCGGCCCGAGGAAAAGGTGGCGCGATGCTGCGCGGAAGGATCTGGCGGCGTTGGGCATCGACGAATGGTATGACTTGGCCCAGGATAGACGGGCCGCATGCAATGTTCTGCCCCCGCCCGAACCCGTGTGTGAGCCCCTGCGGATACCTTGTGCGGAGTGTGGCCGTCTCTTCTCCA